GAGGCTGTGAGTCCAAATCAACTCAAAAGGGTACAACAACAGCAAAAGCTGTCAAGGGGGTCACTAGACTTACACTCAAGACATCCTTAGGAAACTAAGATTTTTCAAAATCCTCTTATCTTAGCCATTACAAATTAATTGTGGGAAGGATTAAATAAGGTCTCCTGAAATCCTTTCAAACACCCTATTGTGGAAAAGGGAGAGATCAGTGGTGTCAGGTATTAATATAGTCATTTAGATTTTGTTTCAAAGGAACTTTCAGCCTAAAGAGGGGCTTAACTTTACATTTTCCTATATTGCTGAACAATTTTAAATATTTACTTTAATGACATTTCCAATATGAGAACTGTTAAAAAAAAAAAAAAAGTACATACCTTTTATATAAAAAAATTCCCTCAGCTCGATTATTTTTACAAATAAGGCAAGGTTATAAAACAGAAGGATAGCTTAGATGTATGCTTTTTTTTAGATAACTGAAGGAAACACAAGTTTATTCTGCAATCAAATTCTGTTCGCCCTAGTCAGGGAACCTCTATTTGATTTCATTGGAAATTTACACTATAAAGGAATATGTATGTCTCAAAGTTCTTAGAATATTCCTCATTCAAATTTCACAAATAGATAGAATTTTGAGGCCAGGAAGAATCAATTGCTCTTTCTTTCAGTAAAGCAGATAGCTCTCCCTTCTTCCTTCCCCACATACCTCCTACTCTTTTCTTTCCCTCTTCTCCTTATTTAATGTCTCCTTCCGCTGATGTCAGAAGCACAAATCTGGCACACTACGCTCTCACCAGAGACTTAAAACTGCAGTGTGCATGATCATGAGTGGATTTTAAATTGAGAAGCAGTTCAAAGGTGAGCGGTAGAAAGAGCACCCAGAATGCTATTATTTTAGCACCCTGTGCCTTGCCCACATTTTTATTACTATCCTCTCCCCTCCTGAATGTCCACCTGTCTATATTTGCTGAGGCGATGTTTTGGGCTTCAAATGGCCATGTGGTTGTGTAGATCCATGAAGCTAAGATCTAACAAACAAAGCAGGATCTCATGTGGTTTTATTTCCATATGGTTATTTCTGTTTCTTGTTTAATTTGGTCAGTTTGATCAATTTTCAGGGATGTGTAAAATTCAGATGACACTCCAGAAACCCCGTGGTGACCTGCCAACTCCTTAATGTATCTCTAATAATCAGTTTCCTGGGCCCCTAGAATATGTGTTTAATCTCACAAGGTAATAATGTAGTATTTAAATAAGAAATTACGTGAGACACAATGCTCCTAAATATTATATGGTAAAATGCAGTGTTATGAAGATTTCATAGGAGGGACAAAAGACTTCTGTAGATAGGTTTGAAGTCCTTATTAGGTAGGTGATTATGAAGTCAGAGGTAGCCCAGCAAGTAATTCAAATAATATGATTCCCTACTACCTATTTAGGAGCCTGGTACTGTGCTGTAGGATAAGCACTAACTTGCTAACTGCAAGCTGGGCAGTTCAAACCCACCAGCAGCTCCTCAGAAATCCTATACAGAGTCCCTATGAGTCGGAACCAACTCATTTTGTTATTGTTGTTGTTAAGTGCCATCAAGTCAGTTCCAACTCATAGCGACCCTGTATAGGATTTCTGAGGTGCGTCTAGTGAGTTTGAAACACCGACCTCGTGGTTCAAAGCAACCTTGCAGTCTAGTGCTTTATCCCACAGCACCACCCCAGGACTCCTAACAACAACGTTTAGACAACGTTATTTCATGCCTCTTGATGTGATAGATTAGTTGGCCTTTCGATGTTCATTTCATAACCAAAATGTATTGTCCAACTGGACTCTGGGATGTGCCCTTGTAGTGACCATCAGATGATTTCCATTATGTGCCATTATGTTTCTTATGTTCTCTGCCTGATTAATATTCAGACAAGCGTCTCTTTCCAGAAGTCACGAGGGGCCATCTTTCTGCCTGTTTTTAACATCATTGTTTTCTGGAGAGGGTGGCAACATGATTCTATGCAGATGCAAATTCATATGAAAAGTTAAAAATGATCCTTTAAAATGTAGTCCCTCAAATGACTATTAAAATGCGCAGAGACAGAATTTAGGTTTTGACTATAGTCTAGGAAACTGCATACAGGATAGTAGTTTTGGATTATTGTTAGCTGCCTTGGAGTTGATTCTGGCTGTTAGGGTAGAACTGCCCCCAAAGGTTTCCTAGGCTACATAGAGGTTATGAGTCGGGCTGCTAACCTCAAAGTCAGCAGTTTGAAATTACCAACAGTTCCACAGGAGAAAGATGAGGCTTTCTATCCTCATAAAGATTTACAGCCTCAGAAACCCCATTCAGGGTCGCTACGAGTCAGAACTGATTCCATGGCATAACACCACAACCAATCTTTGTCCCTCAGAGTGACTGAGTGGGTTTGAACCCTCAACCTTGCAATTTGCAGCTGAGTGAGAGCCACCAAGGCTCCACAGTTTTAGATTAAGCTCTTAAAGACCCAACTTTCTATCAGTTGACAGAAAATAACCACTGAGGGCCTCACACAAGATTTCCTTGTTGTTCAGGGCTAGATGATGGATTGCCATGAGGGTTCACACTTCCAGTCAGGGGCACCCTGATTCTGCCGATATCTCCACAACTGAAGCAACTGGAGGAGGGGAGAAGAGCCCCAGAATGTGTACTCTTGTGGGCAAAGGCATTTTCAGCCATCTTGGTTGTGTCCCCTGAACCTAGACCTACACCTGCCACCCAGTAATCATGAAACTCATGGAAGGGTTTCACAAGACACTAAGCAGAATCGCCTGAGACCTTTAATGACCACATTGATAGATGTGGTCTAGCAATCTCTTTATTAGCCACACCATTTAAAAACTGGGGGAACTCACTGCTATGGCTCAATTTTCAGCCAAACAATAGACAGATGTACGAGAGGAACGCTAACACTAAGAATGTATGCACCTGGTTAGAACAATGATCCCAGGAAACACAGGGAGGAAGTGGGTTAAGTGATGTTGCATTGCGGGGGAATTGTAATCAAGGTCATGAAACAAAATGTATACTAACTGCCGAATGGAACACTGATCTGTTCTGTAAACCGTCACCCAAATCACAATCAAATTTTCTTTTTTGTTTTTTAAAGCAGATAATAAATTAAAGCTCAAAATATTTCTGAACTGAAATATTTTGATGGTAACTTTAGGCCACACCCATCAGAGCCAAACTTCTTGGAAGCGTTGTCTCCACTTCCTCATTTCCCCTTTCTGAAACACATTTGCAGTCTGTCTTCAGCCTTTACTCCACTAATGCTCTCACCAAGGTTATTAATAGCTTCCTTTTTGGAACTCTCTTTTCAGCATCTCTGAATCTGTACCTACCTGGCTTTCCTCCTACGTGTCTAACTCTTCCTTTCCAGGCTTCTTTGCAGGGTTTCTCTCAGTTTCTTCCTAAAACCTTAGTGTTCCTCAGAATTTTGTCCTGGGTCCTTTCCGCTATTCAATACCCATGCTGTCCAGATAAGTTCTTCTCACCTTCCATGGTCACCAAGACACCAGTGATGCTCAAATCTAAACTCTCCATTAAGCTCCAGAACCCTACGTCTGACTGCTTACTTGACACCTTCATTTGTTGTAACCCAGACTCTTCAAACTCCATGTTAATTTCTCACAAATCTGCTCATCCTTGGATGTTTCCTAAATGGAACAGAGGCACTGACCAGGTGGTTGTTCATGCCACCCTAGCCTGGGCATCTTCTTCCCGCTTCCCTCACCCGCCTCATTCATATAATCACCAGATACCAGTGATTTTCTCTGTCCGTATCCATGAAATCCACCATGGTTAAGAATGTGGCCATTGGCCTGAGATTCTCTAGGTTTAAATCAACAGTTGTGAGGTTGGTACAGCACCTGGCAGTGTTTTGTTGTGTTGTGCATAGTGTCACTATGAGTCAGTAGCAACTCAATGGCACCTAACAACTTCCACTTACTAGCTCTGTAACCTTAGGCAATTTACTTAGTCCTTTGGTGCCTTTGTTCCCTGCTTTGTAATTCCCAATGGTCTTCCCACTCCCCCGCCCATTCTCCATAATACCAACTGGAGGAGCCTATTGAAAACACAAACCTAAGCATTTACTACACAGACTATAACTTTTCCATGGTTTCACATGGTTCCTGGAATCATGACTTTGGACTCCTTTCTACCCTCTAATCTGTGCTGGTCTCCCCTCTCTCTGCTCCAGCTGCACTGGTCCTCCTGTTACTCATCTGCATCAAGTCTTTCCTGTCCCAAGGCCTCTGTACCTGCTGTTCTCTCTGTCCAAAAACACTATCTTATCCCACACTCTTAATCGTGGCGGATTGCCAAGCTCACTCCTTATCTGTGTCATTTCCTAAGGAAATTTTATTTGACCCTTCAAGACCAGGTTATGCCCTCCCCTAATAATAATCTCTCAAAGACCGCATGCGTCTGCTCCATATAGCTTTCATCCGAATGAGGGCTCATTATTCAATGCCAGTCTTCCACTTTCAGTTATAAACAACACAAGAGCATGTGTATCTTGCTGACTCCTCTACCCCAGTGCCTACTACAGTGTCTGGGAATTGGGATGCATTAATTGTTGAATAAATATTGACTAATTTAAGAAACCAAAGGCTCATAACTTTGGTCATTGCTAATTGAGCTAGATTCTTGGGTTTTCTTTTTTATTGACATGCTATAGGACTCTGCCTGCATCAGGTATCCGTCAACATTGCTCCCTACTAATAAGGATCACTGAAGCCACCTGATGCATGTCGCTGCATTATTTATGACTGTAAGGGCAGCGACACCAGCACAAGACATCCTTTCAGTCTGAAAGGAGCATCTGTGCCTTTCAGACAATAGCAATTAGATTAATAAGTGGGGTGGGGGAGAGAAAGCAAGTATACAAAGATTAATCCAAAGATGGCAAAACAACGAAGGACTATAGCACAGCACATTTATTTCTCTTGCATCTGCAGGTTGGGGATTAAGAATCATGTTGCACGAAGGAAAGGAAAGACAGAAGTTCATCAGTGATGCCCAATATCTGCGGGACATGCAGCATAAGGTGGACTCTGAATATCAGGTAACTGCAGGAAGCAAAAATTATCTTCCACCTGGTCTTACACAGTAGTGTGAGAGTTCTGAATCCACAATTATAAATGACAAGCAGCAGTCATTTTATAAAATTCCAAACCTACTACTTTCAAGTTTGCCTGGTCATAAGAAAGCTACTTCAGCTCTCTGAACCTCAGTTTGCTCATCTGCAAAATGGGAACAATGGTAGTACTGACCTCATAATATTGTCATGAAAATGAAATGAGATTAAAAACTCATGGCCACTGAGCCAGTTATAATTCACAGCAACCCTCTAGAACAGAGTCGAAGTACCCCTTAAGGATTCCCAAGGCTGTAAATCTTTCTGAAAGCAGACTGCCACATCTTTCCCCCCAAGAGTGGCTGGTGGGTTTGAACCTTTCCATCAGAAGCCCATCACGTACTAACCACTGTGCCACTAGGGCTTTTTGAAATGAAATAACATTGCTAAAGCATTTAGCACAGCACTTGACACATAGCTCTTGCTCAACAAAAGACATTAGGGCTTAAGCCTGACAAGCCAACTCTCAAGAGAAGAGACATTAAGGAGTTAAACTGGGTTGACCTGCCAGTTAAAAATAACGCACCTTCCCGTTGCCATTCCTTTCTGAACAAAGGTGGTTAGTACAGTCTACAATAAGCTAACTATTCACCACCCTAGTTACAGTGTTTACATGCAAAACAAAACAGGCAGGAAAGCTAAGGAGCCACGATGTAGTTACTCAGACTCGCCAAACTGGGTTGTGGGATTCTGGGAGCAGGTAAAGGGGTGTCGCTCCTGTTTACTTGTTGGGAGGTCAACTCTCAATCAGGCAGGGAGGCACATCACCACCTCTGCCAAGGATTGGGAAGCACTCCCTACCTAGGGAAAACAGACATGCCTTGTCAGGTTTCCTCCTCCTTAGCAATTTCAGATATAACGGAGCCTCCTGGGTCGCCAGGGAAACCAGACCTCTTTCTGTAACCCGATTTCACCTGTATAATGCAGCTTAGCTGAGGCCTGGAAATGGAATCAGCAATTTCCTTCCACCACTTGCCAAACCACATATGAGGAGACCATAATATGGAAGGAATTTCAGTAAAACAAATAAGAAGGGAAACATCTGAACTGGTCACTCAGGGAGTCCATCTGTTTTTCACAAAGATTGCCTCTGCCACCGACTCGTGTCTTCAAGGAACTTGTTTGAAATGGTCTCCAGAACAGACACAGAGAAAATCCGTCTGGTGACTTGTTTAAGATACTGGGGATTCCCCATCTTTCCAGTCCTGTACCTCTGTCATGTTTTCCTTCCTGTGTTTGACTTGCCTTTAATGGACTCACTCAAATGGAGCCCTTAGAACCCTTGTCTAGAAACTACAATTGCTCTGTCCCAAAATACGCTGTTGGGTTGGTATGCCTCTCTCTATGGGTCTGTGTGCTACAGGGGAGAGTTAAACCCACCCTGAGTTATTTTGATGTTACTCCTTTCAGTGGTTGGGTGGGACCCTTTAGAGCAAACAAGAGGAAGTAAACATCTCTTTGGCATATTCCATGCTATTTCAGAATCTGGTAACTAGTATATAATTATATACCATCTCAGAATTTGGCTCTATTTCTTCAAGTGTATTCTTGCTGCATAGCCATAGGTTGGCTTCCCCCCACCTCCCACCCCTCTGTCAAATGTGTTTATGTAACTTGAGAGAGAATTTAGCCATTGATGTCCGCTGAAAAAGTGAGAGAAAGATTACACTTGGCATCTCAGAACGATTTTCCATAATCTGTCCAATGTGCTCAAATTGGTTTCATTTCATTGCATGTCACTGATTCATCCTGATTCTTTCAAGTACAGATGAAACAACTAACCAGGGTAATAGAAACTAGTTCAGGGCCATGATTGTTGTTGTTAAGTGCTGTTGAGTCGGATCCGACCCATACAGGGTTTCCAAGGAGCGACTGGTGAGCTTGAACTACCGACCTTGCAGTTCAAACGGCTTTGCAGTCTGGCGCATTAACCCACAGCGCCACACCAGGACTCTATGATTCTTGTCATTGTTGTTATGAGCCGTGGAGTCGGTTCTGACTCATAGCGACCCTGTACAGGGTTTCCGAGGCTTTAAATCTTTACAGGAGCAGAAAGCCTCATCTTTCTCCCGCGGAACAGCTGGTAGTTTCTAACTGCTGACCTTGTGGCTCACAGCTTGATTTGTAACCACTACGCTACCAGACTCCATGATAGGTAGCTTCAAACCAAGAAAGGAAGGAAGCAAAGGAAAATCAAGTAATAGTGGCTGTTAGTTGATGCTAACTCATGGCAACCCCATGGACGCAGAGTAGAACTGCCCTCCATAGGGCTTTCAAGGTTATAGATCTTTTGAAAGTAGATCTCCAGACATTTCTTCCAAGGCACCTCTTGTTGTTGTTAAGTGCCATCGAGTCAGTTCCGACTCATAACAACCCTGTATAGGGTTTCTAAAGAGCGGCAGGTGAGTTTGAACTGTAGACGTTGTGGTTCAAACCAACCTTGCGATCCGTGCCTTATCCCGTAGCACCACACCAGGACTCTTAAGACACTTATGGGTGGGATCAAGCTGTCAATCTTTCTGTTAGTAGTTGAGTGCTTAACTAGTTGTGCCACCCAGGGACTCCTAGCTTGAAATCTGGTGATGTGAATTTGAGGACCATCCACCCAAGCAGTTGAGAGGATGAAAATAACTCAATGTCCATTTCCACATGAGTGAGGGAGAAGCTTCTCTTCAATGCTTAGCTTTGGGGTGGGGGGAGGTTGCTTTACATTTCACAGTGAAAACAGAAAAATAAACTAGTTTGAGGGGTTATGAATAGGGCTGTGAACCTCAATGTCAGCAGTTTGAAACTACCAGCTGCTCTGCAGGAGAAAGATGAGACTTTCTGCTCCCGTAAAGATTTACAGCCTTGGAAACCCTGTACAGGGTCGTTATGGGTCGGAACCGACTCGACAGCACTTAACAACAACAACAACATGTCAAACTGGGTTAATACGTTTGATTTCTTAACCTCTTAAAACTAAGGAGCTCTAATAATGTCATCAATGATCATTAAAACCCCACACTCTGAGTGATGCATGTTAGATCATGAGACCAACGAGCGATCAATCTCACTTTTCAAAATGTTTGTGGATTTAGAGGACCAACAACCCTGAATGAGGCCAGTGTTGATGGAGATGTAGAATTGGGCCTTAGTTACCATGGGTTTTTACTGTCAGGGTTGTGAGCTTGGAAGGAGGCCTGGTAGTGTAGTGTTTAAGGCGCTTGGCTGCTAACTGAAAGGTCAGCAGTTTGAGTCCACCAGCAACTCTGTAGGAGAAAGAGGTGGCAGTCAGGTTCCGTAAAGTTACAGCCTTGGAAACCCTATGGTACGGTTCTGCTCTATCACGAGGATCACTAACAGTGGAAATCAAGACAGTGTGTGTGTGTGTGGGGGGTTGTTGTGTTGGGGATGATATGTTTTGGGGGGTGTTGTTGTTTTAGGGGTGGTATGAGCTGGGAAGTGTTCCTGTGGTGCATGACTCCTAAAATTGAGACCCAGGGACTCAGGTGAGACAACAGGAGCCTGAATGGCCACTGGAAGGTGGTTGGTGGTGTTATTAGGTGCCATTGAGCCAGTCCGGACTCATAGTGACTCTATGCACAAGACAACGTAACGCTTCTCTGCCCCACCCAGCCTCACAAGTTATGTTTCAGCCCATTGTTGCTGCCACTGGGTCAGTCCATCTTGTTGAAGGGTCTTTCTCTTTTTTACTGACCCTCTAGATGTCCTTCTCCAGAGATTGGCCCCTCCTGACATGTCTAAAGTATGAGAGTTGAAGTCTTGCCATCCTAGATTCTAAGGAGTTTCTAAGGACTAGAAGGTAGTGGTGATGATGATGGTATGCTGTAAGATTGGCTGGTAGATTTGAATTGCTGACCTTGTGGTTAGCAGCCCAACTTGTGACCCACTAGGCTCCCAGAACTCCTCAGGACTGGAAAGAAGAGACTAGTAATAAAGACACAAACTCTGAGCATCACTGCGGGTTCCAAAAGCTGTCATTTCTAAGAAAAAGTGGTTTACAGTATGGTCTGGATTGAACCTAAAAAGATGTCCTAAATCCTGGTACCTGTGAATATGACCTATAAAAGAAGACATCTGACGACAGAGTTTTGTTGTAGCTTCAAGCTGAGGAGCTCCTGGGGCTGACAGACGGAACATGGCCCTGCTGACACCCTGAATTTGTGCTTCTGACCTCCAGAGCTATGTGATGGTTCATTTTTGTTGTAACAAGTCACCAGTTTGTGATAGTGTGTTACAGCAGCTCCTGGAAACTAATACGCAGTGTGTGCCTGAGTAACTGAGAGGAGGGACCCCACTAATTGGCTGGTTGGGGGCCAGGTAGGTTTGGGAAACAGATGCCTACTGAGGGGCCAGAGAAACAGGATGGATCTGAGATCCAGACAGAAAGGGTTTTCCTTTGAACAAGATCAGAATGGCATACTTTGGCAAAAGCTGACTTTACAAAGATAAGTAACCAGGAAATGGGATCAGAAATAAAAGTGAAGCAGAAAGTGAGATTGAATATCACTATTTAAACCCAATCATGATTAGGGTCCTGGCTTCATGGGATATCCCAGTTAATGGACCTACTAACGTGTTTAGTGCCTCTGTTCTACCTCTTATTCCTGTCAGGAATACCTGGCGATATGAAAGTTTGCCAAAAGGTCACCCAAGGCACAGTTGGTCTCTATTCACTTTGCACAACAGAGGAAGAAGGAGCCAGGAATAGGAGAATACAAAATGTGTGGCTGATTACCTCCATGAACAGTGGCCTGGTTTGGTGTGAGACCAGAAGAACTGAATGGTGCCCAGCTACCATTACTGAGCTTTTCGATTGAAAAGTCACAAAAGAATCCTGATGAAAAGGGGGAAAATGCAGAATAGAATTTCAAATTCTGTTGGATTCTAGACTTCCTGGAACACTGAAAGCTGGATGAACCCCT